ATTACTTGTGTAGCCAAATACCATTTGACATGATTATCGTTTTGGTGGGGTCCATATCGTTCTCCAATGCTTCTCCAAACTGCAGTTAGCATAGCATAAAACACAAAATATAACTCACAACCTCAGATTAGAGTCTTAGAGGCTTACAGTGCTTTCTGCACAGGAATGGCACAGCACTTGATTTATGCACTTGGGTTCTTGTGGCACTGGGCTGTGCAAGGATTACAACACATAAGCGGGGACCTAGTAGCTCGGCCGATGAACAAACACTAGTCACTAGTAATGTGGAGAAGTAGGTCTACGGAGTGACTGGCGTGACATTTAGGTTATCGTTTGCTTATCGTTTGGATTATCGTTTGGGAAGTTGTCTGGGGTTATCATTGGCGAAAAGTTGCGCCCATCGGTTTAGCTCAAACATGCTCAAATAAACATGCAAATGCAATAATATATTGTAACCACAAAAATCTTTGTACCCACTACAGTACGTCTTAACAAGATTACCGTTTTTGGTGGGGACCATATCGTTTTCCACAGAAACGAAGCCCTCAACATAGGTTTAGGGTCATGCCGTGACTAAATAAGTCAACCAATAATTTTGTCCGTCGCTCATATATATATATATATATAGAGTATATAGTCTATATTCTTATTGTTACTAGTAGTAAGGCACTTGTTCCTAGTAGCGAACCTTGTTACTACTAGTAAGGCACCTGTTACTACTAGCGTGGCACTTGTTACTACTAGCGTATATAGTCTATATATAGTTATCGGACGGCTCCTTTCAACACCGTCAGATCCACAGCGAGTCCATGGGATCCACATCACTCGAGGCCTTCGACCCCTCGAAATGGGATCTTACTAGTAGTAACAAGAAGCTAGGAACAAGTGCCACGCTAGTAGTAACAAGTGCCTTACTAGTAGGAGCAAGGACGCTACTAGGAACAAGTGCATCGCTTCTAGTAACAAGTGCCCAAGCCAGGTTTTCCCGCATCCGCCCACGGCCTTCGGCAATGCCTTGGACCACCAACTCCCCTTCCTCAGGATGACCAGGAATCAAGTCGTAACCCCCTTAGGCGAAAAATCGTGAAACATCACCCACATCCACCATGTGTTGTGCAGCTAGAGGCTACTAGGCACCTCTTAGTCTTTGAAAACCCTGACTACACGGCTACATGACTACACAGTCAGAGTCTAGCAGAATTCCTGCATTTCAGAAGAGACACAAAATGCAAAACATGTGGCTTCCGGGTGCCTCGTGCTACCTCACCCACTCGCCCGAGGTCAGCACGAACTGAACACACTCCAGGCCCAACCTCAGTTGCCCCAAACAGAAATGAACTACATAACAGTTCGGAACATGAGTTGACACAAACTTCACGCTCTGCTCATTTCAAGTTTGAGATCTTGAAACGTATTGATCTCTTCAACATTCTTATTCAACGGCGGGTCAGCACATGTTGCACCGCCCGGACAAACCGAGTGAAAATAGCCACCATTGGTCGAAAAATAACTTCTCTCGTTGAACAGAAAGCAGCTTTAAACACAAGTAAGGGGAAGAATTAAGATGTAGCAAGCAAACCACTGGACCAGAGTAATCAAGATAGAGCAAGTAGGGGAAGAATAGACACATGTGCGGCTGTCATCGCTCCTTGTTCAATCTTATGCCATCACATAGATTGGGGGGCGGAGGCACAGCAATTAGGACAACTTCTTGTAGTTAGTAAAGGCAGGCTTCAACCAAACAAGTGTAAGCATGAGCATGAGCTCTCAAAGGAGAGAAAAAACAAAACAAACAATCACATCACTTGAGTCGAAGGCAACACTTGAGTCGAAGGCAACAGCAAAGCTCAGCTGACGGTAGAAGAGCTTTGCAAGCAGCTAAGAGCATTCACCGAGTTGCTATCGCACCATCTTTGTTGGTTGCAAACCACCCTATGTTTAAGTGGGCAAGTGATGGACTGGCATGAGGGCATCGCTTCAGGTATCGCTTCGGCGATCAGGGTGTCGCTCCAAATCCCCGAGTTACGGCCCCACAAGAGATGACTGTTGCTTCTCTCATGTGGAATTACCTTTCAGATCAAGAAGCTCTTGTAATCGCTCGAAAAAAGAAACACATATGTCAAACAAGTACACTTGGACAATGTATTTCCTTCATGTTCTGGTAGGGCATCGATTGTGAAGGGGGGCCATCGCTTCTTTCTTTTTTTCAACGTTTCAATGGATTGAAAAGCGACTCACATCTTCTCCTCTACATAGCATTGATAGAAATCACACCCTTCAGAACCATGGCCTGGCCCCATCAACCAAGGAGCTTCATCCCAGGAAGCTTTTGGATCTTCACTGCAAACTCCTCCGGCAAAATGTTCGTTGAATCGGATCAAAAGTGTAGGAAATCGCCCCATGGAGCCGAAGGTACCCTTTGTGGTCACCAGAATCTGCACAACGTGTCTCAATCTTCACTACTTGATTTGCTTGAGCTTCGCTTTGCCCGGCTGACCAAAATCTCTTCGCAATCGCCCCTGTTGCGACCCTGAAGTGGTGGTGATGGAGTATTCAGACCTGCGGCTTACTTCCTGGTAACCCCTGGTCATTGGACCCCCTTGACTGTGAAGCCTCCATCTTGCCAATCATGCACATGATTGGCAAATATTTGAAGGGGCTTGTTTCTTGCCGAAGAAAGGCAATACCCTGATTCACTTGGCATCTCCTACAACACTAGCATCAAGCTCGCACCGTTACTGTCAATGTAAGGCAGGTTGTGTGGCACTGAGGAACAAGAAGCTACTAGGGGCTCCTGGCATCGCTACTAGGAGCAAGGACGCTACTAGGGGCTCCTGGCCGTACTACTAGGAGCAAGGACGCTAGTAGGGGCTCCTGGCCGTACTACTAGGATCTACTAGCAAAGGGTATATTTTCTAAAGCGTCTCCACAACTTTGGAGACTTCGCTGAGTCACTCATCCCGATCCTTGCTGTCATCATCGGCATTCCGCATGTCTGGGCGATCGGCCACATATCCTGTCGACAGCTGATCAGTCACATGTTTCAGTGAAGCCTTTGTAGGATCAATGTCTTCTCGTGTCTTGAGTATAGGAGTTGACCATAAATCTCAAAAGCGCTCGGCTGATTCAGAAATTTGAGTGGTTTTCCAGGTTGTGGCAGCAGGAACAATTCAACGTCACAACGGACCTATCAGGGATTGTGGAATTGTTCTATAGAAAGACTTGAAACATGCAGACTACCTAATTGTTTCTTCCAGAATAATACAGTCCCTAGATTAGCCTGAAATTCTGAAACCGTCAAACCGTCCTTTGAACCGGTGGTGCCCGGTAGCGGGCGGTCGCGCCTCCGGCGGCTTGCTGTCGTAAGGTATTGCTCACCTCGTCCGCGTTCGGCTCCACCGCGTCCTCTCCTTCATCTGATAATGTTGCCCTGGAAGAATTTAAATTAAAAGCTTCTTGTTACTACTAGTAAGGCACTTGTTCCTAGAAGCGATGCA